ATTTCAAGTCTTACAGTGGTTGGGCACCTATATATATGAGTAGTCTTAAAAGTCTATAAAAAACTAACTAGGAAATTAGTTTTAAGGAAAATTTTGGAACGACATTACGGAATATTAATCTTTATGTACTATATATTAAAGTAAATCTTGTTTAAACTCTATTATGATTTGATAATAAATAACAAAAGCAAATCAATTCTGCTGAAATGACATAATGACAAAATCATTTGATTTATCTGAAAATGGGTCTGACAGATGTCCTTCGTGAAATTTCGACAAAGTCTAGCAACTAGGTTTTGGGCACATTTGATAATATTTTTTTGGGACAAGCCCGCCGCTACCTCTCTAAGCTAAGCAACTTCTGTAAACCAGGATCAACAGTAGAAACAACCATGAAATTACCGGAGCAATGGAGTCCAGCGCGTCCCAGGTACATAAATAACTAACTGTCTTGGTTCCCGGTACGAAATACAACAAAAGATATAAGAGGAGAAGAAAAAAATCCGATAGTTTCCATTTCATCTGACAATATGTTATAGCTGGCAATAACGACTGATAGTAATATCATAGCTAGTAAGACGAGCAGGTCATCTTGACCCTTATAAAAATATACTTTATTACCCATAAATGTGATACTAAAGTTCATAAAATAAGATCGTAATCGAACTTAAAAGATTTGATGTAACTTCGACAAAGACATAATTGTATCGTAAAATTAAGTAGAACTTAACAAGTAAAAAGTAGTTTTAAGTCATAAATATTTTTTTTATAGAAAAATTATTCAATACTTAATAGAAATAATAAGAAGAACTATAAAACTTCTATCTCGCCTGGTAGTCAGCGATTACACGATGATACACGTTAAGGTTGATATATATCGAACTTTACTAATTCAAAAACATACCAAAGAAAAACAAATTTGATGTTCATAGCCCATAAAAACATAGAAATATGAATAGAAATCGTACAAATGTAGATTAATGTATAAAATCATAAATGTATGTTATTTTAACTGTTAAAACATTATTGACTTTGAACTCATACTTAAATCAATCTACAATCGAACCCACTCGTGACTGCCGGGACTATAAGCATAACAACTTCATACGCACTTTGTAGTAGTTATAATATTAATTTTATGTTATAATAACGTTTTACTCTAGAGGTATATATGTTGCGTATTTTAAACTATTGTGTTTTATGTTATAAATCTTAGTATTGTAAATATCTTAGCATTACGGGCGTTTAAACATTGTGAGGACAATTGTACGTATTTATGATATATTTTTGTATTTCGAATTTTTGAATTAATAATTATTATTTTTTATATATGAATTCGGAAAAAGTTACCTTGGTACTTGCCGTTGGTAGGTTTTGAACCTCCGGGCCACCACGATGTGGTGGTGGTTCTTAATTAAGAGTAGATTAAAGTATACGTATATAAGGCTCAAAACGAATATTAAACTACGTTTAAAAAACCGATATCAACTCCCTCTGTTTTGTAAATCGATTAATTATAAATAAACTTAAACCTTCTTTTAAGTGTAATAAACAGTTTTCTGAAAAAAATACTAAAATCCATTCAGACAATCGCGACAAAATCGCGCACAAGCATACACATACTTATGTGAAATTGAGAACGACCTTCTTTTTTTTAAGTCGGTTAAAAATAGAATATTCCAAATCAAAACGCACCTATTTATTTATTTGGCACATTGCTCTAATGCACTTCTTTTGCGCTTTAAATACAAGTTGCTTGTCTACCAAATTTCCCTAAAATATAATGCCGTATCTGAGTAATGGTGCCACCAGTCCGTGATAAGCCGTTAAAATTGCTTCCTTGTTAACTATTTTGGAGAGCTTATAAAGAGCGAATGAGGATTTGTTAATTTTTTTGCAGAGATTATCTATATGAGTTGTCCATGAAAGTCTATAGTCAATATTTATACCCAGAAATTTTCCTTCAAAAACCTTTGCCTAAATCCTTAGGGAATAATAATAGAATGCACAATGTCATATCATGTATAATGCTACATAGCATGTCATCATTGTCACGCAGTTGTCTTCCGCGCAACCACTGAACTAACAAGGCACAATGGTGTATATATGGAATCTAATCCTGACCACAAGATCTCCCCAGTTAACATAGTCGAAACGTTCCAGGTATAGGCTAATTGCTTGACCATCAATCATTGTGCAGTTTCTAGAATTAATTCGAGAAAATCGTCAGTGACAATCATACATGACTAGGTAATGTTAGGACTTGAGTAATTAATCATTACGTTTCAATTTTAAAATAGAATGTCTTGGTCTTTTAAATTTTTAAGTTTAATGTTAGATGCCGAGCGAGATGGACGCGCTTTAAACCACTCGGCATCTAACATGACAGGGCAAGGGTTCTCGGATTCGTTTCCCGGGTCGGACTTAGTACGAAGTCTGGTATTGTGCCCGGTATGTGGCAATAGGCTTACCCCCTATAACATGGGACTCATAACATATAGTAGTGAAAAGTGGGTGTTACGTTGTACAGTGACATTAACTGCCGTAATGTGCACCTCTGCCTATCTAGCCACCTTCAAAGTCAAAGCATTTACTTCAATTAAACCATAATTTGGTACTTTTGAAACGTCAAAAAATAAATAATAGTCTGTCAGTCAGTCCGTCAGTGAAGCTAGATGAAGCTAGGTGCTCATTGTAAAATGTAGATTCGAATGGAGAAGAACGAGCGAGAAACTCCATTCGTTACTCTTTTTAAAAAAGCATGTTCTACAGTTATGTCTCTGATACATATTCCAATATTGTACGTATATGTGTCTTCGGGGGTAAATGGCGTGATAATTATAATTTTAAATTTATTTATTACTTACTAGCAGCCCGTCCCGGCTTCGCACGGGGTAGACAATTTTTTTTTTTTTTGGAAATTTGGACTGTTGTAGTGACATAACTACAATAGTTGGACAAATGCTACCGCGGAGTTTTTTGAAGACATTATGATGTTCTTCAATATTGTTGTATATTATTTTGTTAATAGTTTCGGCAGCACATTCGACGAAAGACATTTTAAGACTCATTTTTCTACACCTTCGGGTACATTGTTCAAATTTTACCAAGGATCCCTATTTTTTTTCAAAATGAAATGTAGCCTATGTCAAATTGGAAGAATGTGGCATTCTATTGGTGAAAGAATTTTTTAAATCGGCCCAGTACTTTTTGAGCCTATTCATTACAAACATACAAAAATATGTACAAATCTTTCCTCTTCATAATATTAGTATAGATAAAAATATTGTACTCACTACTAGTTATTTTTAAGTCTTAAATTCTCTTCCTAATTTGATATTATGGAGAACAAAATAAATACAACACTTAGGTAATACAATGCTTAATCAGTAAACGCACACAGTTAAGGGGCCAAGCACCCTTATAAATAATTTCATTAGAAGCAATAAACGTCTATGAATTTCGCCCAAGGCATTTTCATAACAGCATTAATCTTATTCTACGCATTATTGACATACAGAAACAAACACAAACATGTCAGAATTTGATTCTCAATGTTTTCTTTACAAATATTGTGCACAAATATTTGACGTGAATAAAACTCTGCGAATGAAATGTGCTCTATATTCGTTTCGAACTGGATAAGGTCAGGAAAGGGTCGCGTTGACCATGAACAAAATTGTGTGAGAGACCTAGAAAATATCACTACGATGTTCCTGTACTGCTTTGAGGCAGATTAAGGGTAGCTAGGTCTAGCCTGGATGGACACATTTTCGTTTTATGTTTTAGATATATGAGATGTATGATATATGTCACAAAAACCGAACGTAAAGTTTTTTTAATACACATTTGGATAAATCATGTCATGTTGCTTTTCTGAATTAAAGCGAGTGGTAACCAAAAATGAACTATTTGTTTTGATCCCTGGTTCAAACAATTTTCAGCAAATTTTATAAAAACCTATCTTCAGTAACTAAGTGATGTTATAGATGAAAATAAAATAATTTACTTCAAAATATACGGTTTGAAATGAATGGAAAAAACAATTACATGTAGACAACCAATTTTGAATGGATACCGAAATTCATCTCACTCGAATAAAATAGAAAAATCGTGATACGAATAAATGAATTATTCAAAAATATAGGTGGAACACTGTACTATGAATATTCATAGATTTATATTGTCAAGTCGGACTGAATCTATAGACATACCATGTCTAGTTCCTATGTTCATGAATATGTAACAAAGAGGTAGTTGTCTGAGGTTCTATTAAATTATATTACTCCACGTCTTCCTATTAAACGTTTACGAGTTATGTCTGAAGAAGGGAGAATTAAACCACGATTGCTGTTTACTAGTATAAAGGTAAAAGTGTAGCTTTTTTTTAATTCTCGAAGAGGTTGACAAATATGTAAATACAATAAACGCCTGCAAAATATAACAACACGACTTTATTTTTGATAATCTATCTTGTAATGTTAGTTATTACAAGATTGATTATAAATTACAAAGTAACCAAATAAAAAGTTAAATAAAATAGCTAAAACACTATGACGGATTAGTTTAAAGGTCTGCTTTTGAGCCATAGTACACCTTTTAACATTAAATTCGGTTTATAATCATACCATTGTTCTACACTGGTTAAATTTCCATTCAGAATACTATTACAATGGCAATCTATAAGCTGGAACCCAATTTGAGCTGCCTCAAGGCAAGTACACTCACCCTGAGGCAGTCGTGAACTGAAGCATTAAATGCCCACTTCAGCAGCTTCGCAGTAAATAGAGGCTGACGTCTATTTATCATTTACCGCGGCTTTGAACACAAGGAAAGTGGTCACCGTTTTAAAATGTTGTTTAAAAATAACTAGATTTCTTCAATGTAAAAACATAATTTATATAGTTGAAGTTCATTTATACAAACACTTATATAAATAAGTAATACTACGAGTATGTCTATCTCGACTTAAACATTAATGTTATGTTTGGTTGTTTCAGGTTATCAAAGCAGTTGAAGACGCATGACGAAACATGGACAGCGCAGGCAACAATACCACATTATATGACGATGATTCGTTGTACCCAAGCGAATTGGCCCTTCACAGAGAATTCAGCCCGACTGAAAGTGTTCTCAAAAACTACATACCATGGCCGATAGAAAAATGTCTGGAAACGTTTCTTTCTAACGACACACATCCTGATGACGTCCCCAACCGTGTTTATGAATACAATGGCACGCAAGTCTTGTGTTTGGAGCATGCCCCAGTATTGACTAAAAGTACCCTTATTAGAGCGAGTGTGTTATCTGCAATGGCAATTCTATCGTTCTTTGGCAACTTGGCAACAATTATAAGTATACAGAAAGGAAAAAGAGGTCGAGGGAGAGCAAGACCGTCGTGGACAGCGATTTATAGTTTGATATTTCAATTGAGTATAGCTGATTTGTTGGTGACTGTATTTTGTATTGCTGGTGAAGCAGCGTGGTCGTTTGCGGTGCAGTGGTACGCTGGGAACATAGCTTGCAAACTGTTCAAGTTTCTGCAGATGTTTGCTTTGTATTTGAGTACTTTTATTCTCGTGCTTATCGGAGTGGACAGATGGCTTGCTGTGAAGTATCCGATGCGAAGTATGGCGACTGCAACAAGAAGTGGTAGACTTGTAATTCTCGCGTGGGCGCTGAGTTTTTTCCTAAGCTTGCCACAGGTCAGTGATCACTTTTATCTTTTAGAAAGTTCGTTTGATTTTGTTGTAAACAAAAGTAAGATACTAAGTTAAATGTCAAGTCAAAGGCTACTATCAGCCCACACTTTGGAAAAGCAATTAAAAGTTGTACACATAATTAAGAAAAAAGCGATAAACACGAAATGAGATTAAAAAGACAAGACATATGCGACAAACTTAAATATTTATGAAGTGACATAAATTCTTTAGACATATTTATGGGCAAAGGTTGTCAATTACTGTGTATTGTTACAAAAATATATTTCGAAATTCGGGTCAGTTGGTCAAAATAACGTGATTTATTGAATATAGTGCGGCAAGGTTGAATCACGATAGTGGTCATTTTATTAAAAGCTTCTACTGCATAACAATTTCTCATACGTTATTGTGATTTGTATGAACGATAATATTGTGTTCGTAATGTCAACATTGTCACAAAAGCAACTGCTGAACATGAAGTTTTCGGTCCAATTTTGGGTTGACCCAAATAATTCGGGGTTTATTTTTAAAATGCTTGAGGGTTTGAGTCCGGTATTCGACAATAAGCTTGACATCAAATATTTCAACTTAATTTATTGGAATAAATAAATGACCCTGCTTACATAAAAATATATCAACGACAATATTTCTTAAATTGACGGGAGGAATAAGGGAAACAAAATTATAAAAGAGTTTAAAAAAATGTATTGCTTCTGTCAACAGTTTAGAGCATACCGGCAACTATATCCTAATTATAAATTTACTTATTCAAGTATGATTAATTTCCACTCTATAAACCTGTGGTTTTTCTTCTGAAACAATAACGTCTATGAATAAAAACGTAAACACAATTCCACACAATACAAACCGTTTATTCACTTGCGTACAGCAAAGGACACGAAAGTGACATTGAAAACATCTGTTCTGTGGAATTTTATTTTTCTGTGGACATTTTTTATTGTTTATCACAGCAGTTAACGCGCATTTCAAAGTTGCTATTTTGCTGATAAATTAATTATTCATACTAAGTAGAAATAAATAAATTATATCTAAGAGACAGATAATAATGAAACTGAACCACGTCTGCCAATTATCATAGTTTAGTTAGTTTTGAAGTTGGAATATACATGTTACCAATGTTAATAAGAAGAATAAAATTAATAATAATATATTATTATCGTACTGGTCAAATACTTGTTCACTACACTACACACACTAAATATTCAGCTACATGATAATAATATGCATGTAAAACGCAAGCAAATATTTCAATTTTCTAACAGTTAATTCAAACTCAATGTAAACCACAAACGACTGTAATGTTCAAAATTAAATGTTAATCCTTTTCCGTGAATTAGTGAATAATTTATACACTATTATTCAGGTGCTTTACTCGTTATTATGTACGCACTTAATAGGCGGGTAACCACGGAAGTACATGGCGCTTTCTAATAATAGAATCAGGTTTATATAATGTCTCCAGGATATGTCGTGAATAACAATATCTTTTGGCATTTCTTAAAAAGCAGGCTGAGAATATTAGCAGTATATGTACACATATATTCATTTTAGACTCGTATTATTACATATTGTCGTTTTAAAATTTAAGTAGAACATAACATCACGCCTGTTATCCCCGAAGGAGTAGGCAAGGTGCACTTTACGCCATTTATTGCCACTGTACAATGTTACACCCACTTTTCACTATTTATTTTATGAGTCCAGTGTAATAATGGGTGAGTATATTGCCATTTACCGGGCACGATTCCAAACTCTACGCTAGGACTGAGATTTTTTTTTATAAAAACCCAGTTACTTTACCCAACCCGGGATTCGAGCCCGAGACCCCTTGTCCGGCAGTCGCACTTGCGATCCCTCGATCAACGAGGCAGTATTTACTTTTTTTTATTTAAAAAGAGTATGACCTAATAACTAACTAACTAACATGGATAGTTCTGTGCTCTCTGATATCGCTAGTGATTGTAAACACTACCTGATCGGAGTCTTAAAATCTCATATCATACTCAGTACGCGATCAAGGAGGCAGTCAAGAGAACCGCAATAAAGTGCCTACTCACGCGTAACTACAACCACAAGAGCAACGAAGCGTTCAAGGAAATAAGCACACGTTTTATACTTTCCTTACTTTACTTTCAATAAAACAACAAAAACAATGCCATTTTGAATTGACAGCAAACGTAATAAATCCTTCGAAAAGTCACTGATAGAATTACATAAAATCGACAATAATGCATTTTATTTCGTCCACAATAAAAACGGGAATAAAACTGAAGTCTTGTTCAATAAAAACAAAATCTTAGAAGCTGCTCCCTCAGTCTCGATTGCAATCAATATCGTGCTCTTGTAAAGTCCGACACACTTCTCACGATTGATCGTTTGCTTGACATAAATCGAAAAGAAATCTCAAAACAATGCGGTCCATTTTTCTTTGTTGGCTTTGTTTTGAGTTAAAGGGGAATATTGAGAAATTGTTTTTCTTTTGAATTGTAAGTTGTAATGAATGGTATTTAATACTGTTCATGAGTTTAATGTTTTACATTACTGAATGTTATCAAAATCTCTTTACAATACAGCGACAAAATTACTCATACAAAATATAAGATCCGTGACGAAATTTATTTCATTAACTTTTATTTGTGTTCTCCAATAAAATATTCAACAAGTTTAACGATATAGTCACGTTAAATCTGAAAGTATAAAGGGGACTTAAAAGGTCGTATAACACAAGAACATTTGGCTGTCAAACTTTTAGAATTCCTAGCGCTTTACTTAAAGTAATTGGCGAGACTGTGCCGTCTCCTACACATTTTGCTCACGGAATATTGTTAGGTAATATTACTCTTTGAGACATGCAGGGAAATTGTCTTCCTTGCTTCCCTGCTTCCTTTATGTTAGAAATTATTACGTACATAATGTATGAGTAACTAACAGTTATTTATAGGTCGTCTATTTTGATACTAATTGCGTGTTTTGTATTATGATGCCTAGTGGAGTTCAACTCAAGCTCAACAGTTGTTGAACTTTGTCTTCTAAGAAAAAAGCAATTGATAGGTGAGTCTTCAATAACCTGTATTATGTCTTAAAATTGCGACCGCTACAAAATTAGCAGCAATATCCTTGACACTGGTTTCAATTTCCAACTGATGTGTCCATGTGTGGAGACCATTGAGGGTTTTTCCCTAAAAATCTATGTGCAGGCGGAGTAATTATGATGAATTACACTAATAATAATTTATTGTCTTATGCTTTTAGAGTCCACGTAAGTGACGCACTAAATAATTTGCTTGTAAATCTTAGTTATTCGAACAATGTGTTGACGATTCAGTTACGTACCTATAAAATCGTACAGTTAACATAGATTCTGGAGTAAGTACCTATAGGTATTGGGGAAATGTTTACAGATTGTATTTAGTGAAGTGTTATCTTGTACATAGTTCTTGATTTATAGGTAAACAGTTTGTTTAGTTAGTAATCACGTGGGATAACTGAACTAGAATGTCTGCGGTTTAGTTTGTATCTAGTGTAATATATCTTAGGATTTAATCACAGTTACAATTTAATGGGATAATACATATATTGATTTTGTATACAATGTGGTCAGATAAATAAACTCTATACAAAGTATTGTTTCCAATTCTAAAGTAGTCCAAACATGCCATTTACTATTTCTTAAGACAATAAGTAAACCAGAAAAGATCTTTAAAGATATAAAGCCTTAAACTATCGGCATAAAACCTCAATTTGTCTGTGTTACAAAGCCTGTCCAATTTTTTGTCCTTCCATCATTCACAAAAATAGACGTGATTTTTTGCATCAATGTAGTTTATGAACAAGGAAGTAACATGAATCGCTATACTTGATGTTCCGAGAAATGACAGTTTTTGTGAGATGAATAAAATAGCCTGAGGGGACATTTTTTAGGTAAAAACCTACTCATAGATGTATGAATATGTATCCCTTTATGGCAATGGGATTATTATTTGGGGCATTTTCCCAATGGATATACGTTGCCTATATAATCATGTGCCTATATAGTTTGGCATGGTCACGAGGCGACTTATCAACTAGTGATACTTCACTGGTAACCCGGTACGATGGACCCGTGACAATCGCTATTGTCTAAATCTTCTCAGTAGCAAAACAGACATAAGGTAGGTATACATTTTTAGGTCCTTCTAATAACGACACCAATCGCTATAAATACTCAGAAGTTTGTGTCCAAAGAAAGGATTTAATCTTATTATTTATTATATTTTCGGCTTACACACGTAATTGTTTGACGAAGGAACTCGACTGGTTTCGAGCCATGCTAGAGGCTCATATTCATGAGCAGCATTCCACGACCCGAGACGCGGCGATTGTCGCGCTGCTATTGGCTGCTTAAGTCTGATGCCGTGCGTGCCCAATGCGCGCGCGTTGATGTTAATTTCGAATCCCGAGTCGACGCATAACCAGTGTTACATACCGCGCTCACTGTATCACATTCTACCGCGCTCACTGGGTCTAATCATACATATGTAGATACATTTTCACTACAAAGATACAAACAAAAAATGACAGTTGCTAAATGTTCTGGCAATCTATCGTATTTTGTTAAAAGGCGTAGTATTTATAGGCCATTTACAAGAACTTTCCAACAGTTATTTAAAATCGTTTAATATGACTATAATGTGTTCGTCTACTCATACACTGGATTTTTTTATACTTTACTAGCGACCCGCCCCGGCTTCGCACGGGTGCAATATGTATATACATACAAACCTTCCTTAAGAATCACTCTATCTATTAAAAAAAACCGCATCAAATTCCGTTGCGTAGTTTTAAAGATCTAAGCATACATACGGACATACAGCGAAAGCGACTTTGTTTTATACTATGTATTGATTAATTGATAGGTCGAGGTTATAAATTCGTGTCATATTAAAAGATTTTTATTGCTAAACTAAGAATTTAATCCGTTACCGTCACCTAATCAAACCTCTGGCCACTAAACTAACAAGGTCATAGGTTAAGATAGGAAAAAAGGTCCGGGGAAGATAATAAGAAAATAGATATAAAACTAACAAAGGCATACATTGAACTTTACTTAAATGTACAGTAACACTTCCATATTATTTACCAAAAATTCTATTGAATAGAACAAACACTTTACCTCTGTTATCTTACACCCAACCAAATGTTATGACATACCCAAAATATTTTACAGAACGTAAAATATTTCTCCATACAAAAGGTTAACAAAGCCGTACTACCCATACGGGTGTACTCATATTTTTTGAAGTAATAGTAAATTCTTAGGTTTTTGTTATTTATAACACTTTAATGTATTTGAATAGTTTAATGTATCTAATGTTTTCAACAAATACAATCAACATAACATTATAATGTAGGCGCTTGGCCGCTATATCGCCTACCCTAAAATCTTAATATTAAAATGCTGCTCACTTAATTATGAAATTATTAAAATAAAAACAGAATTAAACACATTGTCGCAGTAAAATGTGTAAAACAGAAAAATGTCAGCCTTGTAGGTTTGCTCCTTTGAAGGCTGGTATGCCAAGCGCGTTAATCTGCGCACGCCAGCTATATTCGTTTTTTGTCGACAAAAGTATTTTGGGTACTGCTTCCTGTGGTTTTTTATTTATAGTATTCGTTTTCCATGTAACACTAGGTAGGTATGTTTGTTTATGGACACGTAATATGTACCTAATTTAAAAGAAATCCAAAATTTTGTTAATTAAGATTTTTCTTTTAAACCGTCACACACCGCGAGGATACCGATGACCGCAACCCATTGTTCTTTAATTGTGCCTATAATGACGGTACTCAACGAGTTAAATACAAGAGAAAATAATGTCTTAAGACATGACAGACAAACATGAAATTTGTCGAAGTTCTGACAGATCAAGATTCCACAAATTCAAATGGGAAAGTTTAGAAATGGCACTCACAAGAATTCGGAAGGAAAATAAAGTAAAAGTAGAAACAAAACATAAATCCAAAGGTTTCAATCGAAATGTAAAACAAAATACTGCAACTCAGTTTTGTGACAAGAAATAGCAGTACAGAACATACATTTTGTTGTAGATGCCATTAAACCAACTGCGCTGCTGAAAACTTCAACTATTATTGGTATCATTAGTAATATTCACGTAGAACGTTTTGGCGATTGAGATGAATTCTGAATATCAAACCAACATGCAGCGTTATGTGAAGTATGTGCAGATTATTTGATTGATACATTTTATAATATTGGATTTAAATCATATATTCATATTTCAGAATAATCTACCTAACTTAAGAACGTCTAATTTATCTAAGTTTTGGAACGTCTTTCTGCACATCCAAATGCACCAGCCCACCAATTAGTGTATTCTGGACCTGCCAAAAGGTTAAAGAGAGCTGATGTGCTCCCTACCTGAAGGTCTGCACATAAATGCCTTTAGTCACTCCAAACGTCATTTGGCTTTCAACTAATTTGCTCATAGTCTTGCGACTGATTGCAAAAAAATACTTAAAAACAATATAATATTCATCAGTAATATACCAAAAAGATGATGATCTCAAAAAGTGCTGCATGTATTTACTTCAAATTTTGTATGATTATTAGTAATAATGCCGTATGTAATAATTTATTACATACGGCTCGGGTCAACATATAGGCTATATACATGCTATCTATCTATCTATCCTACAGGGTAAGCGCAGTAAATCACTATTCCACTATTCGTCGCAATTGGCATTCCATAGTCTCTGCCTACGCCCATGGGAGACAGGCGTGAATTAATCTATGTATGTATGTATCAGCCTTTAAATAAAAACAATTTTTCATCATCATCAAGAAAAAAAAAAAAATTATATAAGTGTTCTTTAAATGTAACTAGTTGTAATATTAAAATATTTATTAACAAAACCAACAGTTGTATTAGTCAGCTACATTTTATTGTATCTTAAACACAATATTAGCTTTAGATGTTAATTTCCCGCCCTGGGTGTTAAATCGATTCTTTGTCCAAGCACCACAGAACAGAACTTTGATATCATACCACAGTTGTACATACATCCAGTATTTGAACATAATAAAACAGAATTGGTTGACATTAACTGCCTCGTTGGCCGAGTGGTCGCAAGTGCGAATGCCGGGCGAGGGGTCTCGGGTTCGATTCCCGGGTCGGGCAAAGTATTACTGGGTTTTTTAAAAATTCTCAGTAGTAGCACAGAGTCCGGAATTGGGCCCGGTATATGACAATAGGCTCACCCCCTATTACAAGGGACTCATAACATAAATAGTGAAAAGTGGGTCTTGCATTGTATAGTGGCATAATGTGCACCTCTGCCTACCCCTTCGGGGATAAAAGACGTGATTTTACATTAATGCGTCGTCAAATATCACGGAGTTGAAACTGAATTGTGGTAACGAAATACTATAATAGTACCTATTAATATTGAAATTCTTAGTTAAGTTATATCCGTATATCTGAACGAAAAATGGCAAAGCACTTTGCATAAATATTTTTACTGTAGATGAATAGCGTGCTTTTTGTCTAAGTTGTTACGGACATAATTCCTTATCATCTGAAAAAAAGAAATCATAAACAATACCAACTAACGAAATCCAATACGAACAAATCCAGAGCAAATGCATGGCTTCAATTTCTGTCCAGCATCGTATCACAACAAAGCTATGTACTATTGAACATATTTCCTAGAACATGCTTCAAGATAGCGCGCTTTGTTTAATAACTAGAAAGCTTTATACTATGAAAAAGGAGAATTCTCTATAGTGGTTGGAGTTGATGATTCCATGAATCAGCAATTTGATAACAGAAATGTGATTGAGCATTTTGAATTGTCAAATTAAGTGCAATAAGTGCAATACTCATAAAATTGTATTGTACTCGTAATTTTGAGAATTGTATAGAAGTTGAACTAAAGTCTGGCAATTGGGTACTTTCCTTAATCAAAAATAAATTATTTTGACTGTTCAATACAATAAAATATTATAAAATAATCACATTTATTTTATGAGCAACTTAATTTAAGTATATTTCTAACAATTTTTAAGAAATAATTATGCTTAAAATACGTGACGTCACTATACACAATCTCGTACAAAATTCATAGAAATCAGTCGTTTTTTGACAGTTCGAAAAAAGTATTGAATTTGACTAGTTAGCAAATACCCAATTGTATAACTTACTTTTTAATCTTACTTACTTTTTAATCTTCAATATTTTTTTTTGGTTAGTACCCCTATTGACTCCCATTTTTTAATGGGGAAAGTTGACAAACGAGCAGTCGTATTACTTGATGGTAAGCAATCGGCGCCATCCATGGACATCTGCAACACTGGAGAAGTTACAAATACGTTGGCGGCATTTTGAGACTAAATGATTTGAATGGGTGTGGTGTGGGGAAATCTTTATATTTCTGTCAAAATGACAATGACGTTTTCTTTGTTTCAGGCAGTGGTATTCAGTGTAGCTCAAGGGCCATTTGTTGAAGAGTTTTATCAGTGCGTCACACATGGGTTCTATACACAGCGGTGGCAAGAGCAAGCATACACTACGATGTCATTGTTCTTCATGTTCATATTCCCTTTAATCGTGCTTATAGCAACGTACGTGTCCACAGTTAGAACTATTGCAAGTAAGTATTAAACTTCTACTAATATTATTATAAAATGTAGATTACAATTAAATACATTAATCACTTACATATCAGTAACTCTTATAGAAATAATAATGGCTGAGGCTGAAATTATTGGTGATAAGACCACAATATGTAACCAAAATTCATACTAATACTTCAGAAAATAAAATCTAAACTCGACCACATTCAACCTAACTCACCAAAACCACTCCTGCTACCATTTACTCACATAGGCAGTCAAATATCAGCTCTCCTAGACTTAATATTAAGTTCTTGAATAATTGTGTATCTTGTACAACGTGTTTGAGTAATAACAACAATCTTTGAGTTAAACATTTACAAATACAACATGACTGTAATATGTATATTCACCACGTGACATGTAGACAAAATAATATTTCTTTGTACTAAAAATGTATTCACGTCTATCGTAGCGTGAGTGGAGCGTGTCCAAACACACCGGCCGACGACGGCAAATGTTCTCTGTAGGAATATACCATATGTGTTGACACGTGTATCGTGTATCTCTGTTGATACGAACAGGACTAATTTATTGCCCAAATCTAGTATTTTTAATCTGGTATTTTTGCACGCTTTCTCTTTAACTGACTGTATAAAAAAGATAGTGCTAACAGCAAACTGAACTTACGTATTATTATTTTAGAGTTACTTTTAAAAGGTATTTATTTGAAGTGAACGGTCGTTAGTCGCAGATATGTAGTTGTGGCTTTGCATAATTTTGTCATACATTAAAAAAGTCAGCCAAATATAATTTAGCAAAGAAATTATTTTTGTAAGAAATACTAGCAAAAACTGGGCGTTCAACGACCTCGTATGTTTTGTTTGATTAGCACAATCTTTATTAACCATACAATTTTAATTTATTAAATGAACAACTTAAAGCTATTTCCCTACTTTTATTAGAACTGGCTCATTTGTGTTTACATACTTTCTTTGTTTTTTTAAAACAAAACTTGTTTCCATTTTATTGTTCGAATCATATCTGTCACGACTATACTTACATACAAAAACATAATCGTCAAAACGTAAATAAACAACTTTAGTTTTGTTCTAACAGCTGTGTACAAAAGTTGTATTGTCTGTTGGTTTTCAAATAAAATGGTATGGCTTGAGAACTGTAACAGATGGGCTTTGTTTCGTGCTACAAACAAACAAAGTCATTGAACTTTATGTAAGTTTGAACTTGTAAATATCAATTGCCTTCTTGAATTAATTTATCGCTACTGCTACTCTTAGAGTTTTGTAACTAGTGATAATTCTTTTATAAAGTACGATTAAAAAAACCAACTTAAGCCCCTTTTTTTAAACTCGATTAATAATATGCTAAAACTTTCTCCTAAGTATACTAAACATTTTTATGAAAACCGCATCAAAGTCAGTTCAGCAAATCGTGAGATAATTGCGCATATACATACATACAGATCAGACTGAGGGAACCTCCCTTTTTTCGTTTTTGAAATCATTTAACAAAATGATACACAACACGTTTGTCGATCAACTTGAACCTGTACATAGCAGTAGTAAAATTAGCATGTCTCGCAAAAGTTATAATATAAACACTGAAAATAGCAGTCACTTTCAAGCGTTTTATGTACAGCAAAGCATAGTTATTTTTTTATGCCATAAGCCGGTACACGAGTATACGCATCACCTGATGGTAAGCAATAGGCGCCAGCCTTGGACACTCGAGACACCAGAGGCATGCAAGTGCGTTACTAAGTACTACTACGTTACTACTACGGAATTTGAGGATTGTTGGATATTTAGGAATTACCCACTTCCCAATCTGCCCAATTAAGGGGGGGGGGGGGGGGGGGTAATCAGCGGAAGATTTACCTTCTACACTTGTCTATCGGTACCCAAGGACTTAAAAATTGCTATATTCAACTGCCTGCTAAACACGTCGATATCCAATAGTTTAACAGTGAACAGTGTATGCATCATGTGTATATATCTGTCGATGTGTGTTCAGTATGAATTGAAACTATTGAATATTTTTATTTCTTTTATTTTAAGATCTTCGAAGTAATGATTAAGTTTGACAGCTATTTACTACATAACTAAAACATAAAGTAATTTACCTACTCTGCTTTTGAAGAATCAATATAATATGTATGTAGTGTTATGATATTAATAGTATACAGAGACATTTCATTATATCAAGACTAATATTTGTATTCGATGTTTACTTCTCTAAAGTAACTATAATTACAGTTTCCATTAGGAATCCTTATTCAAATACAGTATTCCTTAGAGAATATCATTCAGTCTACGGCTTAAATATCAGATAGTTATGAATTAAGATTGAAATAATATTACTATTGAATAAACATTCTCATCTAGATTTGACTGAATAGTCTGTCTTGATTTAAATTGAGGTAATAAATATACAAAAAGGTATTTTTAGCATCTCATTTCTTAATAAGTTTTAAACTTTCACTACAAACTTTTTAATTATTTTGCGAGTTCTGCGTACAATTGGCTATGTTGTAGGTCAATTTCAAAGTCTGGGCTATTATTGAGAACTCGATATTCGAGAAACCTAGTATTATTGCTTGTGTTTTTATATGGGAGTTACATAATAATTTTAACAATTCATTCGAGATTTAGACATCATATGTTTGCTTTTTTATGGGATAAGCCGGTAAACGAGCAAACTAATCACCTGATGATAAGCAATCGGCGTCGTCCATGGACACCTGGAACACCAAAAGCGTTTTTTTTTTGTGCCTATAGGCTTAATTCACTCTGTCTACTGCAGTAATTCACTGAGGGAAGTGAAAACTATCGTTTTTTTCTTCTCCTTTTATAATAGCTTCTGATTCTCTTCGTTGCGGGAACCAAGACAGTTATTTATGTCCCTGGGACGCACCGGACTTAAGTGTTCCGGTGATTTTATGGTTGTATCTTCTGTAGATCCTGGCTTACAGGAGCTGCAGCGGTTTCGGGAGGTTGTAGCAGGCTTGTCTCATAAAAAAAGTGTTACCAGCCTTTTAGGGATTAGGAATTTTCTTATGGACAAACGTGCTAAAAACATTAAGGCTTTGACCGCCAATAAAAAACTATTGAAGTCAGATCCTTGGCTTCGGTCACCGGTGGCCACCATGGCGTTTAATGTGTTAAAGTTCAAGAAATACATACAAAAATAATTATTTAAAAACATAAATAATTCACACTTCGTCGATTTTAATCAAAACTTCTGGCACTCAATTTCCAATTTCCCCTTTTCAAATATAGATACCAAATACTTGTTGAAGGTCCCACGATTGAAATATTGATGGCATTAAAAATTCAACCTTAAATGTAATTTGACTTTAAAACAATTATTAAGTGCTGTAACCAAATTTTGTAATGAACTTCCTGCGGGGAAAGTGTTTCAGTTATATTGTTAAGAAATTCTACGAACCTCTTTAATAATAACGTCAAGGTTGATATTTAAATAATTATAGCTTGGGAATCAAATTCACTAGTAATTTACTGTACGGCTTTTTACCGGTTAAAAATCTCAATTATAATATACGCCAGTTATATTATTAATTGATGTTTTTACCTGTAGGTATATTCATTTAGATCCATTAGACAGATCAAGTGGAGGTGGTAAGTAAACTATGTAAACAAACAGTAAATAAATAAATTATCAAGTCATTTCTGTTTTTCCTAATTGGCACTACCATAATAACTTGAATTGGATAACTGAATAGAGTTTTCGATACAAATTTTGCTAAAATAAATAGGGCAGAATCTGATTGTCTGGTGTCTGAAATTTGGCTACCTATTTTTATCAACAATAAACTTGGATACCGAAAACCAATCCAATCGTAGCCCATTATACTTATTGCAGAAAATGAAAAAAAGATAATCAGTTTCATAAAAGAAAATTGGATGACGATGATATTTATTATTTTTATTAGAAAAATATATTTCTGTGAAATATTGTGCTTAAAGACAAAAAATACAAGTCAAAATGGATATTTATGAAATTGTATTACTTTTTTTGACTTGATCCGTCCTTTTGTGGTATTACGTTAAGTAATAAATAGAACTGAATAAGAGGTCATATTCAAAATCGCACCGTATATAATGAATATATCAAATCATCATCATAACAAAAGAAAAATGATAAATCTTTGACTCTAGTCGAAATCTAATAAAAACGTATCGTTTACATTTATCATATTTTTCAAATTATCACATCATCATCATCAACAGCCTATAAATGCCCACTGCTGAGCAAAGGCCTCTTCTTACACGGAGAAGATTTGAGCATCAATCACCACACTTGCTCATTGCGGGTTGGCGATTTCAAACTTATAATTAGGAATTATAAGTCCAGGTTTCCTCACGATGTTTTCCTCCACCGTTTATCAGTGGTGTCTAATTAATCTTAGAAAGTATATATAACTCGGAAAAAGTCACAATGGTACTTGCCGTTGGTAGGTTTCGAACCCGCACCGTCATGCATGAGAAGCAGGTGTCTTAACCTCCGGGCCACCACGACAGTTTTTAATTATCACATATTATAACAAAATTCTTTTCGTTCCATTTGAGAAGCAACATCTTGCTTTAAGTATCGCTTTATGAAATCAGAAAGTATTTTAAAATGAAAGTTCCCGTCTTATACCCAAATTTCCCAAGTTACGATACCTTTGATTAAAAAGTTAGGAAATAAATATTTTTAATAATGATTCGTATTTCTTTTTCAGAGAGTGAAAAGGTATTCAAACCCGAAGTGCGGAGGCAGGAGAAACATTTTACTCCAGATATGAATAGGAGAAGGCTCATTGACAGAGCGAAGATGAAATCTTTGAGGATGTCTGTTGTAATAGTAGCGGCTTTCCTAATTTGGTGGACGCCATATTACGTCATGATGATTATATTTACATTCCTTAATCCTAACAAAGACGTAAGTAGCAACATTGATTTGCATTAATTATAATCTTGTTTCTTTGAGATAAGGTTTATTTTATTATTAAAATACTATTTACATTTGATAAAACTTTGGCTCTCCTGATAAAAACGATGAAAGTCATAATTTCTCTTCACTCAAGGTAATAGTAACTGTCATAAGTGTCAATACTTTATTTTGAGTACATGCAATAAAACTAAATACGTGTTTTATATGAATGTAGGCGATGTATAAAACAAGTATCAAGTGCAAAATAGAAATTTTTATTAAACTTTATTCAACCTTTTGTATGTTATCGAGTACATGTATTTTTGCCTTTTCTATCGAACTTTAATTTAAAAACCTTAAAATGAGTACGCTTTTGCAAGAATTATAGTTAAAAATGCTTAAAGGGATTTACTTTCAAGATAAAAATAAAATTAATTGTACCAGTCGTCTAGTCGGTATCTTGTTACTCGTTGCTTTGACCTGAGATTAGTGAAATATTTGGCCTAGCTTCTGCTGTAAAAATTAAATTTTGGATTGAATTTTCTTATTGCAGGAGATTTTCGAATCTGTTTTCAGACACATAGAACATATTTTTGATAAGGAGCTTAAACTTTTTGATAATATTAAAAGTTAAACTGAATTTTTAAATCCAATCAAATGACACGTTGGAGAAAAACGTCTACAAACGTACACATTGGTCTGGTAGATGGTAGATTGCTACCAAATTAATGTACAAACTGAAATTAACTTTAACCTCACACTCGATAATCGTAACTAACCAAAAAATAAAAAAAACTACAGCTAGGACAATATATTATTCAAGTTTTGTAAAAATATGAAAAATTAAATAAATCTGAGTTTGCAATTCAATATTTTTAAACTTACTACATAACGATTCGATGCAGAAACTCCGACCGATTGCCAATTGTATTCGAAATGAGTTTCGAAGTTTGAATTCATTCAACTTTTTACTTTTTTAAATATCAGCCGAACTGATTTTTGTATGAGTTTGTCATTGAGTTTGTATATTTAATTTAAAATGCAGTAGAAAATTATTAATATAAAATAGTTTTTTTCCAAGATACCTAAACTATGTTGAAGTTGATTATGATTACCTACTATTTAACATAATTATCATACTTTTTTACTACCAGCTCTGGACACCCAACCTCACGATTTTAGTTTTTAGTTATTCATATTTTAAGTTGTACATAGATCAATCGATAGATAAATAAATCAATATTGACCTATTAATTATTGTACTTAAAAAAAAACAGAAGAATAAAAAACGACAAAGAAGGCGATATAGAATAGAAGAATTATACAATCATTACCTTCTCAGTCATAAATTAACATGAATCTGAAATGAATTGTCGACATTATGACCAGACTTTAATGGCTTTTTCCTTCATAATATTAATAGCACTAAGAAGCTATGAAATAGAAATGAAATGTCTCCGATTTGAATTAAGCTTGCCACAGTGAAATAATCATTTCAATTTAAGTGTCAAAATGTTAAAACTTAAATCATTTTACATTTTATTTAACTAATCTTAGACCTAAATTATTAAAGTTTCATTAAATTATTTTAATAGTTTGGTCGTGAAACTAATGTTTCATTTGAAAATTGAATGACTGTTTTATGCCTAATGGCAGCTTTTGTATTATACACTGTAGTAGTATTTTTGGTCTCGGAAATGGCAATTTTTAATGATCAAATCTGGAGCTGTAGCCAAATGCCATTTAGCGCTTGTCTACTTGTAAAATAGAAAACCAATTTAACCATACATTTAGTTTTTTATTCTTTCGGTAGACAAGCGCTTAAGTGGCGTTTGGCTAAAGGCACAGGCAAGAAAGTACATACAGCTCAAGTTCATGATTCATTGCATTGATTTAAAAAATGGAAGTTATGTTTGGACAATTGACAATAATTAGAATATGACACAATTGGCCGAAACGACTTCCTACAACAAGCAATTTGTAAAAAAAAAATACAAGCAGATTGTTTTTTTAAACTAATTTGTTGTTACGATGACGTAGACTGCATCATCGCATACCACCAGGCGAAATAGTGGTCAAACGTCAGCTCATCACATATATTTAAAAAAAAATCAACAGACATCAGTTTGAAACTCGTTATTAAATCGCATGGATATTTGTTATAAGGATTAAAGTTAAATCAATTAATAGACGAGTACTTTCTAATTTCAAACAATTTTTAAAGTACTTTAAACAAAATAAAACTAAAATTAATATCACGATTTTTAAGAACTTTCTAGATTCTCTGAATTATAAAAAACTTATGTCAAATTAATTGGACTCTGATAAGTTTTAGTGAGAAATAACAAATTTGTTTTCATTACTTGTGTTTGTCCACTGAAGTGATACGAAATTTAGAAAATAAATTTTTCGTTAATTGTCAACATGTTATTTTTCAAAATATTAATATTTTAGTTTGCCGCTATGTTTCATTGTTGACATTAAAAAAAAGTAATTCAAATATTTTGTGTCTTCTCTATGGCGCTGGTGTATAAGAATACTTCATTCTTCAACAATTTCATGAGTTAGAGTTTGAAACGAAGCCTCAAACCTCATTTCTGGTATCCATTGCGTTTTTTCTCGTATTACTATAGTTCTCTATTTCAATGTCATTTACTTTTATTTCCGTCATGTTAACATTAGCAACATTTCGAGCATTCTTAACTTAAATGATCGAGTCCGGAAATTATTTTCGCTGCTGGAAATTTAATCAATACTGCTTTTATATTTTGCTTCTTTTGTAAACCGAATTAATACAAATGGCTATACAAAGAACTAGTCCTAATTCATTCGAATAGTTATTTTTCGTATATTCATTGGGTTGATTCAATAATTTATAAAGGTGACGACGAGTAACTGGAGGAATAATTAGGTAAATGCAATGTCGTTTATTTAAATTAAATTAATTATTATCAATACATAGTATAAAACAAAGTCGCTTTCGCTGTATGTCCGTATGTATGCTTAGATCTTTAAAACTACGCAACGGATTTTGATGCGGTTTTTTTTAATAGATAGAGTGATTCTTAAGGAAGGTTTGTATGTGTAATACATGCATATTGCACCCGTGCGAAGCCGGGGCGGGTCGCTAGTTATTAATAAAATAGACTTATACAACTACACCATTATTCAGTTGTACTCTATAGATAAACTAGAAATTAAATACTAAATTAGATCATAGTCATATGAAAAAGATCAATAAGGAATTCCATGGTTACTATACTTTGTATTTAGAGTACGTATGGTATTATTACCTTCATAGATTAATAAGAGGCCAAAACTCAAATGACTGATCCAAAACCTCATCTACAGCTGTATCGCAATGTTAAGTGCGACCAAAAAGTACCAAAGAAGCAAATAGACTTTTTTTATGCGACAAACCGGTAAACGAGCAGACGGATCACCTGACGGCAAGCAATCGGCGTCGCCCATGGACACCTGAAACACAAGGCGCCACAAACGCGTTATCGACATTTTGGGGATCAGGAGTTTAAGGATTGTAGGGAATTCAGGGATGAGGAAGGGAGGAGGTGGTAATTGGGCCTAATGTATTTAAATTAAAATACAAAATCAAACAAATATTTACAAAATAAACATCGGTACTACGACGTCTCATGTTTCCTTATACTCTAGTATGTATATCGTTAACGACAAGATAACCATTCGGTCCTAAGCAAATATTTTGCGATACATGATACAGTGAAGTATATACCTACTTTGTTTTCCAATAAATACGTAACTAATCCGAGTATAACAGAGACAATCTTGTTCAGAATTTCTAAGATAAATAAATATGAGCTGACGTTTATAATATGAAATCTGTGAAGGGAGAATAATGGAGAAATTGGATATTTTGGTTTCGTTTTTAGCACTATGAAGCAGTGTAAGATCATTGAACTTGCTAATAGTTGTTACAGATTAGTATAGATATCTTTTCCATTTCTAGACATTCATATGACTAGCTCTAGCATAGTTGCTAGGACCTAGTTATTCTCGTAACATTGGTGGCTTTAGAGAGGTTTCTCATCCTACCATTTTATTCACACATAAAGGGTGTAAACGGAACCCTCCCAAAAAACGCCAGCAGGTGATAGTAAAAACACAAACAAGTTTTATTTTCATACTAGCGACCCGCCCCGGCTTCGCACTGGTGCAATATGCATGCAGTATACATATAAATCTTCCTTAAGAATCACTCTATCTATTAAATAATCGCAACAAAATCTGTTTAGTAGTTTTAAAGATATAAACATACATAGGGCAGACAGACGGCGGATAGCGACTTTGTTTTATACTATGTAGTGAAAAGTAATGAATTAAATAATTTTATTTTTTTCTGTCTTTCTTTAAACGTTGCTTCACATTAGGATTTCCTCCTGTATCGTGAGTGCGTTTACAAATATACAAGTTCACATACACATGACACCTAGACCAGAAACAACAATCTGTGGATCACACAAAGAGTTGTTCCCTGCGGGAATCGAAGCCGCGACACGTTGCGCGGCAGCCAGTTACCCAGCCACCGCGTTAACCATGCCAAAAATGTTTCTTTTATGTAATAATAGTTATAATCAACTGCTCAAGACTGATGTTGCATGAATAACACGTAAACAAAAACGATTAAAATTGTAAAACACTATTTCTTTTTGTCCGCGTTTCGAGAGCGTTCCATTTACACCTGTATAGGTACGATTTCCCAGACTAATTATGTGCATATGTTATCAAAAGATTACGTTTATAAGAACATCCGTCGATGCGTCCAGTCAGTCAGACATAATAATGTCTACAAAATTCAAACGTATGAAAATTACATGCGAAATTGAGTTTGATATATTGGTCTAGGATCAAGATAAATAAACTAGACGAAACCCTTCAATTCTAGAATACAATACCTATGGAAAATAGTATTTTCAGATACAGACCTGAGATTTAAGATAGTTGTCGCAGTAGTTCTACAAAGGATATGTAGGTGGTTAAGGTATCAGTATATACGAACTGTAATAAACTTAGATAATGTGCAATTTAGGAAGATTTATTGTTCTAAATCGTGCTTTTACTGATGTTTGTTAAATTATTGTTATTTGTTCACAGCAAAGTGAAGAATTACTCAGTGGGATTTTCTTCTTCGGGATGTCGAACAGTCTAGTCAATCCTGTCATCTACGGAGCATTCCACTTATGGCCGAAGAAGAATCGATCTCATCGACACAGTGACAGGTATGATCACATTATTATATTCATTAGATAATGACATTGAGTACAGGTGGTTTAATACTGGTTGATCTGGAATCATTCTTTTTTTTAACATTTTTCCACATTAGGATTTTCTCCTGTGTCGTGGGTGCGTTTACAAACATACAAGTTCACATACACAATGACACCCAGACCCGAAACAACAATTTGTCGATCACACAAAGTGCTGTTCCGTGCAGGAATCGAACCTGCGACACGTTGTACGGTAGCCGGCTGCCCAGTCACCGCACAAACCGTGCAGTCAATTTCAAACATTCAAACATTGCAAGAAGCTTATGTTTAGGAGTGGCCTTCTTACGGTTGATAATTACCGTGACTATTGCCCGAATATTGAAACGTTTGTTACATATTTAACGGCTGCTTACCTAAGTGCACCTTAATTCAAATTGATGGACGTTTCAGTATACCAGTTATATTTGAGGCGTGCTTAAATTTGAGTTGCGATTAACTGAGGGCTATATTTAACAAAGATTTCAGTATTCGGGCATATATTTTTATAAAACTAACGTGAGATATGCAGAATTAACTAGAAATTATGACGCAGCTTATTGACGCGACATAACCGCGACGTACGCTGCTTATGAGGAGGAGTCCCTCCAAACTAGTATATCTTTTCTCATTATATTTACGTAATTTGTAATTTTTAGTTAATTTAGAGTGACGATAACGATATCATTATTATTCATTAATCTATCTTCAATTGATTGATACGTTGCTTATATAATTGTAAACACGACTGCTCAACAAAAATAAATCTTTATCCGATACGATTTTCAGATCGAATATAGAGTTATTGAATTGTCAGTTTTCTAAATTCTCAGTCATAATACGTAGTTTGAAATAATGGTCGGTGCATAGTATAAATTTCACCTTATATTAAATATCTTCTATTAAAATTTATTGTAATTCAATTTCGCCTTCTGTCATTACCCACGAAAAGCAAAATTAAATGTGACATGGAACATATGCTTCTCTTTAGGGATTGTGTAAATTCAATAAATGACGAATCAATACGATTTGCTTATTCCTTTAGAGAATAAACAAGGATAGAATAATAGGAACTGGAATGTAGCAGATAGTAATAATAATGATATACATAGCTGATAGCACAAAGGTAATAAAGCAGCCTCTTGTTCGCACATCAAGAGCGTTATATTGAATCTCTAGCGCAATACAACATGGCGGGTATACATATTGTGTAAGTACTATTTTACACATAAAATGACATCTATTGTACTATAATTAGGGTATAAAATTTCGAATATAAGCACTAATAAGTTAAGTATGCTGTTGTTATTGTAAAAAGTATTTGCATAAAATAAAGTTAGTAGAATTTTTCAAGTAGGGTAATTTTAGATTATTTTCATAGTCAGTATTCGGTACAGTAATGCGGGTGTGTTCAAAAAATTCGCTATCGACCCTGTTTTAACCAGGCAGTCACATTACCCATCACCACTTCAATATTTAAAATATTCTCTATTTAGCTGCCAAAACAGCTCCTTCCATTAAATAGGACACACAAGTAACACTGATATTTCCAGAAGGATAATTTTTAATTATGTCGCCGATATTAAACTGGCAGTAGAAAAGTATGTTTCGTAGTCCTTTCCATCGAAATTGTTATGAACTAGTTTATGAATTTTTCATTCGTTTGGACATGAAATCAGTTGGTCAATGAATGCTCACTGAACAAGAGTCGTATTTTGAAAAGTTTAATTTTTTTTTTTTAAGTATTACAATAATAAAGTTGGCGGTTGATCGTCATTAGGCAATATTCGCATACACTAAGCCTGAACGATCACAGGGAATACGCCCAGTGGATAGCGAGGTTGCCAAAGGATTTTGTTTCCAAACTGTACTAACTACCGTAAACCTTGCCGATTGTATGTAGGTACATAATATTTTTGCATATATTTAGATAGTCACTGAATCGTCGTGACTGCCTCGTTGGCCGAGTGGTCGCAAGTGCGACTGTCGGGCTTAGTATTACTGGGTTTTTAAAAAATTCTCAGTAATAGCACAGAGTCTGGAACTGTGCCCGGTACATGGCAATAGGCTCACCCCCTATTACACGGGACTCATAACATAAATAGTGAAAAGTGGGTGTTACATTCTACAGAGGCATAATGTGCACCTCTGCCTACCCCTTCGGGGATAAAAGGCGTGATGTTATCATTAGATCGTCATTGTCAAAGACAGTCTACCAATTCCCTGCTAGACCTTGAGCCGCCTCTATATAAGAGAGGGTTTGTCATATGGTTGGTATAACGCCTTGGTTTTTTGACTGTAATGTTATACTATTTAATTGAAGTAAATAAATAAATAATAGAGGTAAATAAATATTGGCAGGAGTGTAGACATTAAACTTTCAGAATTATACATGATGGCACGTATAAATTTGATTGATATATTAACTGCGACCTATTTTTGATCAAAAACATTGTAAACATAAAAATTTTAAGTGCGAAAAAAATAAATAAAACTTTAATAAAATTAGTTTCATATAAAGTAAATATTAACGAAGAGGATGATGCCAAAAAGGTTGCTTATCAAATTTTATCTTTGTGCTAATGACAAGATAATTAAAACATAGTTAATTAAACACCCTTGTTTTGTTTGTAATTAACTTGGGTGTACTCATTGTTACATATTTTTCATTAACCCTTTATGACTGAGTTGTTGGTCTGGAAATTGCTAGAAAAGTAGCTCAGTTATGAACGTTTCTAAATATTAGTGATGCGATTGACGTTCAAAAGTGCCTTGACATTCAAAAGTGCCTTTCTGATCTAATTAAATAAATGATTTTGACTTTGACTTTGAAAGAAAACTGAATTATTTTTTTACAACAAGTCAACTATTGCCTTTTTAAAAATACTATAATGGCTTTCTGTCTAGATTTTACCAATAGTACTTGACTTTTCTCTACTAAAGTAATTGTAACCTGATCATAAAATTTTAGTGTAGGAGAGCCAATCCTTCGGCACAATGGACCAGCTCGACTGGAGTGATACCACGGCCTCACAGAAAATCGACGTCAAAAGACGCTCGCGTTGTATTTCGTCGTATGTGTGAATTTCCCAAAGGCACAATTACACCAATTCCCAAACCCCTTCATTCCTCAAATTCCTAATACACAAAAGGCCGGTAGTGCATTTGTAACGCCTTTGGTGTTTCAGGTATCCATGGGCGGCACCGATTGCTTACCTTCAGGTGATCAGTCTGCTCGTGTACCGGCTAATGCCATAAAAATCTATCAAAATTCAATTTACTCGACATTGTTCTCTATTTGAAGCAATATATTTGTCTGCAGAGAATAAATAATAATTTATCTATCCTTGATATTTTCTTGCCCTATGAACAAAAATAGATCTAGTTTAAAGATAAAAGCATACCTGAATTGTTTACCTCAGAAAGGCAAATCGATGGAAAAGAAAACATTCTTTCAATAGTAATAAAGATTGATGAGTCTCTATATAAATAAATTCGGTAAACCTTTTGTCAAGGAAAACAAGCCTAGTTTTAGTAGGTTACCCCTAACTTCGCTTTTATTCAAAGAAAACAAACTCTATTCCTTTTGTTACGTAGGTAATAGGAATTTAAATATGGTTTCTTTGTGTTTATATTCAAAAATCTTTTATCCTTTAAATATGTTAGTCTCTTAACGCCTCAACGAATATCTTGAATACTGATGAGGATGAAATAAATCAATGCTAAGCCGTGCTGAGATATTTGCTTGGCAAATATTTTTATCAGCCTATGTAATGGTAAAATCGATAGTAATAGCGACTGTAGAGATATGTTTATTATAAAAAAACGGGTATCGGAAACACAAAAAGTGACAATAAATACGTTAACCTGTATATTTATTTCCTGAACTTAGAAAACAAAATCTTAGTCAGAAGTGTTGAACTTTTCATTAAAATAAGTAATGATAAAAAATTTAAAAATATACAGTCATTAATTACATTTCGTAATTGTAAGTAAACAGAAGCATCTTAAACAGATAAGATTGATTGACAGTTTTTTTTCTTCTGTATTCATGTACAATTTACAAAGGGAATTAACAAAATTCTTTTAGATTTATGCTGGGGTCGAACTCCTAATCTTGTGAAAATAAATGTTTATTTTTCATTTCGTTTGACCACCATCTCACTTGGTGGTAGGCAATGATGCGGTCTACGATGGAGCACGTCTACAAGTATACCATCCATATACCTAAAATATTTTTATTATCAGTCTTAATTTTGTCTATCACTTCTAATTACATATTACACAAGAAAAATGCACCATAGTTTGATACCACGGCTCCCTAATCCAAGACTTATAACCATCATCACTGATACAAATAGGTGAGACGCACCACGCTGTCCTGAGATATAGAATGATAAACGGAGGCTTTTACCACATATTTTGTCAGCTGAGACTTTGTGACCTCATTTGAAGTCATACATGACAACACGACTTTTATTCCATGAAAAACTAAGCAAAGGAGCACAAATAAAGTTCACACACTTATTTCGTATGAACTGACTTTTAGATAAGTACCTACTACAAAATACATATTTTTATGTTAATCGGTCTTATATCGGTTAATCGGGCGTTTGATATCCACAATGGAGATAGATGTAAGTAAATTACGTTATAATATTGTAAGGTCATTAAGGTTAAGAGTGTGTACCAAATATCAAATCGATCTGTTGTCAAAAATGGAGTAAAATTATAATGATTAAATCTGACTGCCTCGTTGGCCGAGTGGGTGCAAGTGCGACTGCCGGGCAAGGGGTCTTGGGTTCGAATCCGGGTCAGGCAATAAAAAAAAATTTCAGTAGTAGCACGGAATCTGGAATTGTGTCCAGTATATGGCAATAGGCTCACCCCCTATTACACGGGACTCATAACATAAATAGTGAAAAGTGGGTGTTACATTGTACACCTCTCCCTACTCTTTCAAGGAAAAAAGACGT